TTTTTAAATGACAATTGCGGCATTACGTTTTCTGTGGTCAAGAGCTGGTTAATTGCTGTCGCCGGGTTAAACCTAATTCTGCTGACTCAGTGCAGTGGGTTAAGTACCCAATTTCGTCGAGAATCTGTTTGTTTATACTGACTAAGAATTAACATCAGGAAGTGGTTGTACTCGCTAAGCTTTCAAGTTTGGCCACTTCCAGTTGGACAGCTTTGGCATAACCGTATGCATGCTGTGTGCTTTGCTAAGCCATAAAACAGAACTGAACAGAGCTTTTGCCATAAACGCGGTTTTATAGCATTGTGAACAGGCAACGGTCGGCACTTGTTGCTTTGCCTTCAAGCCGAAACCCAAGCAAAGTAATCAAATTAAACTTTTCCAAATTGTCAAACACCCGTTCCAAACCGGGTATGACACATTTTCAGCTATGCCAGTGTTAGATAACACTCATCAATCTGCGGTCATCGCAATGCGTAGGCGTTTGGGCGTTCCAATCGAATGACAGAAAAACGCTTTTTAAATTAAAAGAGGCAGCCAAGCGTGGAAAATGCGAACAAACTTTGCGGCAAACGGAATTGAAATTGTAAACTGTTGCATGCTTTTAGGCAGCCAGCAAAAGGCCGGCAACGAACGTTTTTCATAGACCTATCCCATCTCGACCAACCAACCAATGGGCAGCCAAAAAAATAATTTCCGCCCATAAATCATCATAATGGTTTACCAAAGGTCCGGCATATGCTAGAAAGGTAGCTGGCATGCGAAATGAAGATGAAACAGTTTGACAGCCAGCTAGAGTCCAGGACTTGCCTGGGGCCCACGCACGTAGCCAAGTTTATCCTCTGCGTGTGTGTAGAACTGGCCAGAACTCATACAAACATACACTCGGAATAGCAGCTGGTAGAAAACCAAACGAAACGTTTTAATTAGACAAAAGAGCTAAGCAACTATTTATTTCCATTTCTATTTGCCCGTCTAGCTGCATAGCCCCCAGGCACACAGATAAAGATACACAGACATCGAACCGAGGCACCAGCTCAAACTAAAACTCAGCGACAGAGCCAAAGCCTGCAGGCTGGGAGTGCAGGCGATGGCCGGGACACATATCGCCTGGCTTGTGTGCACTCGTATTGATATTGGTATCTGCTGCTAACAGCATTGCGTTTCACTTAAAAGAAAAACCGGGCACCCGACTGTTTTCCCAATTTGTTCAGGATTTTAATCTGCCAATTGAATGTGCTTCCTTCAAATAGAGGTGAGCGATGGTCGTGCCTAGTGTCGAGCACAGTTCGAACAGAGTTGCAATGTCAGAGCAAGCGCAGATTTCGAATAATTAGATTTGTTTTTCAACAAAGCATTTTTTAACTAAATATATTGCCAAAAGTGCGATCTACCAAATATATTTAATAATTGCCATAACTGGCGCCAAAGCTATTCATATTTTGATGCTGGAATTCCCTCAATAATTTCAATTAGAAAATTATAAAAAAATTGAATGAAATCTTTTAATGCATATATATTATTAAATAAAAGTCGTTAAACCACATCATAGAATAGGCTCTACATAAAATGATTGACAACATATATTACATTTATAAATAAAAAATGGAGAAAAACCTAAGATCAAATCCACACTTTTATCTCTGCTCCGTCTTTGAAATGTTATTATGCGATCTTCATATATGAAAATATAAATATACGTACAAAATTTGGTAACTTCTCATTTATTTTATGGGAATATCGAAAATAAACCCTTGCTGGGCATCTACAGATGAGATTTGCCTAGTGTTCAATCAATTGAACACTGCACTTTTGTCTTTTAATTGCAATTTCATTGAATTGAAGTCGACAAAAAATTATTTGTCCCTCTGTTTTGCATCACAGCTTCGATTGGCAAAAGTTTTCATTTGTAAAAATGGCCTTTGTGAAGGGAACACATGCTGCTAACGAAGCTACTCGTAAGGCATTAAGGCGCCTGCTGTTTGTCTGTGTATGTGTCTGTGTCTGTTCTTTATCTCATCGTCTTGGCTTGTGGCTGCTCCTGGGTCAGCGCAAGTCAACGACACTTGCCGGAGAAAGGAACGACAGCTTGTTGGCATTATAATAAAAAGTACTTCAATAACTTTGTGCAATTCACAACTGTGTAACTGCGTGAGATTTACAGAGAATGAGCCAGGGCCAAGGGGTAAGGGGTGAGGGGTGAGGGGCCTCAGTTCCGCTTGCATCCTTCACATGAGCGAGTTTTTCTTTATGTTGTCTCCCATTTATTTATTTTTATTTTGCGACTGTCTTCGCTTTGTTTTATTACCCCTTGTGCGTCTGCCCCTTGCTGTCTGCCCTTTTATTTATTTATGCATGCATTTTGTTATCAAAGATTTTCCATACATATAATTTTCAACTCTGACGCTGGCGTTGGCGTCATAGCGCAACCCACAGCGAATTGTTGACAAAGGAATTACTTATTAATCATATTTGAGCGCTGACTTTTCGTCAAGCAGCTGCTTATTATCCTTCAAAATTATCCTTTGCCTGTTGCTCTGTAATTTGCTTAAAGGCTGCCGCTTTGATAAGCTTCCACGCATTGCAGACCCAATTACAACTGCTCGAGTCATAATAGACAAATAGTATAATCAGCCATGTATCTTCAGACATACAGCCAGCAGCTGTATCTGTATCTGTATCTGTATATTTATCTGTTTCTTCGTACAAGCGCGTGCAGATACTTGTCTCGTCTTGTGTTGTTTGGGCATCTTGTTGCGCTGCGCGGCCTAAAAGACATTTGTCGAGCATTAATTTTAGAATATTTCATGTCTTGCGTTTATTTGGCGCTTTGTTTGCACAACGGAGCACTTGTCTTTCATATATCTTGCAGTCGATTATACAGGAAGTTCGCACGGCAGCAGCATGAATGAAAAATATATTGCAACCGATAGTTGTGCCAGACTATTGGACACCCTGTATGCACTCATATGCCAAATGCAATTCGGCTCGCCTGTCGAACGCCGGGCACAGCAAATGCCTCTGGGCCAAACGGCCAGACAGCCAGAGACCCGCCGGAGGGCGCGGGACGAGGCATCGGCAGACACGAGCAATGGCCCAGTCCCAGTGCCAGTCGCACTCCCAATCCCCCAACAGCCTGTTTATATTATGTAGTTTCACTTTTAAATGCCCTAACTGTGGGTATAACAGCTTAAGTATCGAGTCCAAAAAGCTTTTTTCTTGGAAAACCATATAAAAGAAGTATACAAAATAAAGTATAAATGAGGAAAATAAGCAATCGTATTTTTCATCAAAAAAAGTATTTTATTTTAAAGTATTTTTTTTCTATTTCCTCATTACCACAAAGTTACCTAAAGAGTCTGAAGTGAATATTAATTAATTTGTATTTGTATAAGTAATAATTAAAATATTATTAATTTTATTTCTATTGATCGAATTTAAATTTTTTGTAATTTTACAAAATTTGTTAACTAAATACGCGCAAACAAAGGCCGAGTGCAAGGGTATTTGTCTGTCGGCACTCTCGCAATTGCTCTCCTTTCTTATGCTCTGTATTGTCTAGAAGCGAGCGCGGGGTGAGTACCAAAATAGCGCCAACAACGCACGTGGAGAGGTGGGGCTGCTGGGGCGGGTGGGAGAGAGAGAGGGCCAGTTACAGATTTGACATGCGTCACGGTTCACGCTTTGGCCAGCAGCACTAATTGCAGCCCGTTGAGCATTCAGAAGTTTTCAAATTTCGTTTCAGATTTGGACTCAGCACAACTTGCAGCAGCAGTCAAACAATTAGCAAACGGCCGAGCAGCAGCTGCTCGCCCAAAATATTGAATTGAACGTCAACATTCAAATCAAAATTCAGAGCAAGCAGCAGACGTCAGAGATGCCAAAGAGCGGACATTGTCTATGGCCGTCCCGCTCGCACTTGTGCCTGGCTGGGACTATTTTGGTGATCCCAACCAGTTGGGCATCTCGCTCGCTCGCCGGGAAAAGAACACACAACACACACACACGCGCGCAGATGGATATTAATATACACATAGATGCAGACACATAGACAGTTCATGTCCAACTAGTCGTATGTATTGTATTTGGTATTTTGGTCGCTCTCCGGCGACGACGACGGCGACGGCGACGGTTCCGGTGGCAGGCCAGCAGACGGCGAGCAGTGCCATCGATCGGGACAGAAGCCTCAGAATCGTGTAATTTGCCTCGTGCGTTGTCGCTGGGCGCTGCTCGCTGATTATTTTCAATTTATTGCTGCTGCACAAGTGAAACAAACTGAATTTTGTTCTCGAATTATGCGTTTTTAATTGTACGAAAAATATATTCATTTTGTTTCATTTTGCAATTTGTCGTGCGTCCGCTTGTCGTTCCTGTCACCACCTCTGTCTCAGCATTCAGCATTGTCGTGTGCTTCCTTATCCGTTGTTCGTTGTTCGTTGCGCGTTGTTCGTTGTTCGTTGTGGGTTGCGCGTTGTTGTCGCGCCTTTCGTTGTCGCTGGCTGAGCGCTCACTCTCGCAGTGTCAAGCACAGCCAGCGCCCGTGATCATCTCAAGGAGCACTTAAGTTCTCAATATAGCAATCAGATTCAAGATTCCCAAATACAAGTAATTCGTGTCGTGATCGTAAACATCATCTCGAATGTGATCGTGATCGTGATCGTGATAGTCAACGTTAGCAGTGAAAAAATTTCTATTGTTTATATAATAACCCAGAGCGGGCAACAAGCATATAGAAGCAAAAGAAAAATATATATATACATATATATATATACATATATATATTCATTTTGGGTTGCTTTTTTTCAGGCTAAACAAGTTGAGAAATTCTCTATTGTGTGTCTGTGCTGCCCCAGTGTGCGTGTCGGTGGGCCGCTATAGTCGCTATAGTTCAAAATTTAGTGAGCAAACGCCGAACCAAGTGAAAGTGACGCTGAAAACAAAAAAAAAAAAACAAACAAACAAACACACACCAGTAAGAAGTGAAAGCCTTTAATATAATTAACAAAAAATTAGCAAACATGTCGGACAATGAGGATATTGTTGCTGCCTTCGAGGAGCAGGCCAATACCGATACCAGTCCCGATCCGGTGCCAGCTGCCGATGCGGAGAGCAAAAGCAGCGTCGTTACGGAACGCACCGAGGAGATAATACCCGGCGAGAGCGAGAAAATGGTCACCGAAACCATCGATGAGGATGGCGATGTGGTCGAGGAGACAACCGAAGTCACCCGCAAGACCGTTAAGCGTACCATGAAAATAACCGAGGTGAGTGTAGAGAATAAAGTTGGTTTTAAAAACTACGCAAAAATTAGCCTATATGAGGCACTCTTAGGACTAGCGAAAGCATGTCAAAATGATTTCTTTACTTATATACTATGAAATAATATTTCATTGTGTGCGTCTTAACAAATTGTTTATATAGCCGTAGAAATCCCATAAATCATCATATACATATGTGTTTATTATACGGCCATTCTACATACGTTATGTGCATATTTATGTGTGTGTGTGTGTGTATGTCTATATATTATGTGGATCTGTGTGTGTGCACAGTATATGGTACATATCTGGTTCAGCCACACTTTATACAGGCGACAACGCCTGGCACAGAATCACAAATTTTGCAGCTGTTTGATTTCGGCGCAAATTACAAATATCAAAAAAACAAAATTAACACAAAAAACAAAAAATTATTGTTAAGCACAAATCACTTAATGCGCTGCGAGAGCTGCCAAGAATTAATAAAAAAAAAACAACCACAAGAAAAACAAAACAAAAAAAATGATAAAAATTAAAAACGAATTGCAAAAAAAACTGCAAATTAAATGCAATAAATTCTGCGTTGGCTAGGAAAGTCGCAAAAAAAAATGAGGTTTCCGTGTCTTGCGGTCTGGCGCACAAGCCTCAGACGACGGAGGCGAGCGGGGAGCGGGGCGAGCAGGCGCATTGCAATTAATTGCTACAAATTTTCTTGCACAAATTACAAATTGCACTTCCGGTTTGGCGCGGCAGCGACGCGTGCGGCATCTCGACTTTATATAGGCCGCCTAAAATTGATTTGCTGTCGCTGTTTTATGATCGTCTGTGCGTTATATTCGTTCAGTTTTATGGCAGCCAAATTAAATTTACATTGCCTTTGGCCAAAGGGGCTGAGCTGCCATTTTCTGGCATGTCCTTTGACATTTTATGTGGCTCAAATGTTAAACGAAATGAAAATATATGCGCACATTTATGTAGATTGGAGCAACCCGAATGCCCAATGGCACTGGCTGAAAGTGCCATGTGTCATTTGAGCACTAGCAAAAGCTTTGTTAGTGTTGAAAAAGAGTGAAAATACTCTTTATCAACACTTATTTTGTTTTGCCTGTACACATTGTTTTGGGGAATTGTTTGATGCACGCAAAGGGAACTTCGAGCACAGCAAAAGCTTTGTTAGTGTTGGGTAGGTAGTAGTAAAAATACTCGTTATCAACACTTATTTTGTTTCACTTCGACACATTGTTGTTGTGCTTTTGTTTTTATTGCATGTTTGTTTTATTGAGTGTTGATAAATGTTTCGAGGTTTTTTTTACTGCTTTTCAACACTTGTTTTAAAGAATAATAAATCTGTTTTTATTTATTGTTGTCTATTGTAAATTTAAATCTGTGTACAGAGCTGCATTTGAAATTGAGTGTTGATCAATTTTGTAAAAATTTAGTGTTGATTAATTTAATGAAACCACTATAACCACTACACAGCACTGTTTTTTTTTCCTTATTCCTTATTGCGCTTGTTGCCTCGTTGTGTGCGTTGTTCTTATCATCGGCCTGTGTCATTGTATGTTGACTGTTTGTGTTGACCCTGCCGCAGGTCGGCTAATTGTGTTACGTGTGTCCGTTGCGGGCCGGCTTCTTAGCATGTCCGTAATGAGGCACGTGGCGTTTTTGTCATTTTTATGCTCGATGCTGGCATCTACCACAGTGCTACGTGACTCTGGCAAAGTTCAAATTGAGAATGCGAAATGTGTTTAATGAGCAACATATGAGATTTGACACATGCCATAAATTTTACAGTTGATTTAACTGCAGTTTCCTGACCGCCTTGATGTTGATTTTGCTAATTTGCTAATGTATTTATGCAGTAAGCAAAATAGATTAGCAATTATTTTGCATTGGCTCAGACAGGGAAGCGGGCGCCCAATGAGGCATGCCAATTAGTGCAGCAAGGCGTGAACAATCACACACAAACACGAAGACACACACATAATTAGACATAGTTATATGTAGATAGAGAAGCACACAGCTAGATATACGGTCAAGCACATTAATGGAATTTCCGTGGCTCAAAGCTTAACCACAGCAAATATTTGGTCAACACGTGGTCAACTTGGCATTGCCTGATTTGATTTTGGGCATTATAAGGTCGAAATCTGTGTCTGACCCTGGCCCATTGCCTTAACCAATTCCTGGGCCACAGCCCTGTGCGTCAGTCGCATTGACAGCTGTCAGCGGGGCTGGCGCCTCAAAAAGAAGACCACACAAAATAATTCACACGCGTCATCACACATACACACATACACACACACACACACAGTCGCATACATAATTACATATGAGGTATGTATTTTTCAGATGATTATGGCATTTAGGTGTGACAAAGTCAAAACAAGTCAAAAACAATTCAATGTCATGCTTCGGCCACTTGGTTTTCATTCATTTGTTGCAGCTCTCTCTCAAGGCGGCCGCCTCCCATTGCGCATACGACGCGTTCGCCCAGCCAGCTCCAAATGCTGCCCGCTCGGTTCTGTTGGATTTTGGTCAGCTATTTATGCGCTTGGTGTTTGTTTTTCGTTTCGTTTCGTTTCGTTTCATGGCGTTCGTTCTTTTGAATTTATTTATTTGGTTGCTTTTTGCTGAGCAAACAATTTATAATTTTAATGCACACACGCACAACATATGCGGCTGTGCGTGTGTGTGTGTGTCTGTGTGAGTGTTAACTGAATATAATCTAAATATGTTTATATAATTGAAAAGCAAACGCGAAAACATCAAGCAAAACATAGCCATAGTCGAAGTATGCCAGTACGTCAGGGCGCGCAGGCGGCCCAGCGGGCAGGGGGCGTGACATATACAAAATGTTCATATGTTCAAAAACGATGCCCCCACACATCAGTATATATGTGTATGTGTGTGTGTGTGTGCGTGTTTGTGGTATATAAATACAGCTGCCAAATTGTTGAACGCACTGGGCTCACTGGGCGTATGATAAACGTGCCATTTATTTTGGCAGTCGGCCGCTGTTTAACTTTTGAGCAACGCAATTTTTGCACGATATGCGTCGAACGTGAGCTTTGTTTGTTGCCATTGTGCTTGGCATAAATCAGTTTTATGAGTGGCATATCTCTTGTAATTTACAGGCGCTCTTCAAAAGCTGCCTGCATCACACAGATTTATTTATTAATGCCACAAGGAAAATCTGTGCAATGCTTATGATTTTGACCTGCCGCAACGGAAACTTCGCCCGCCACTCGCCACAAAGAGTTTACTTTTGAAGTTGTTGTTGTTGCAACCTCAACAACAACAATAATAACAACAACAGCAATTCTATATCAACTGTGCAAGCAAATAATTTTATTGCCTGCCATAAACTTCCGCCGCCGCAGGCGGATATTCAATTGATATTTACTTAATTCAATTACATTTTGTGTGCGCCGCCCGAAACTGAAAATACAAATTCAATTTACAAAATGTTTTGCGTAGTTTTGCAAGCTGGCAACCGCCCCCCGCTGCCCCCCGCTGCCCACTTTAGCTATGTATCAATCCAATGGCTCAGGCCAAAACGTATTCCCAACACACACACACACACTAAAGTTTCAAAAGCCAGCTGCAGAGAGGGAGAAGGGGGGGGGGGGGGGCACTGCAACCCCTCGCCTTCGGGCCTGCGACTGCCCTCGTCACCGTTGTCTGTTGGCAAATCAATGAGGAAATTTGCAAATTGAGTAAATTCAACGCATTGTAGGCAACAGCTTGGTCTGCCAGCTGTGCCAGTTGTCTGTTGAATATGTCTGACAACGGCAAATGCAAATGGGTTGAAACGCAATTAACTAACCCGGCCCTAAACAGGAGAGACGGCTTAGAGTCCATGCTGTTGAATGCCAAATGGAAACGGAAATAGTCCAAATGTGCACGGCGAGCATTCAAATTGGCGGGATTTAACAAATGGTTAGTCCAAATTATAAGTGAAAAGCAGCAAAAGCTGTATTCACTAACCGACAATGCGATACTCTACACAGAGTGTACAATCGTAATGAGAGTAAAATTTATGACTTCAACTAGAATTGGAAATAAATTGTTTATTATTTAAAATTAATATTATATGCTACTAACATACTTTGAATATAATTCTAAATAAATTAAATGCAGCCTAAATTATTTTCTGCAAATTGTGTAAAAAAGTTATATGGACAAAACTAAACCTTAACTAAATTAACTTTTATTTATATACTTAAAAAATATAAAAATATACTCTACATTTTGTAATAAGTTTTTTACACAGAGTGTTTCACTTAGTCGCAAAGTTAATAATTTCCTTTATGTTAAACACAAGCTTAACTTGAATTAACTTTGTTGAAAGCAAATTAAAGAGGCTTTGTTTGTGCTTTAAGTGAGCGCCTGATGGAAATAGTTGGCTTTATACATTTTATTGGCTTACTCAAATTAAATGAAAAGCTCCTGATATTGGAGCTTGTGAAATCAATCTTCGCGTTCATTAAGACACAACAATTAATTGAGACCCCCAACTAAGCACAATGTTCTACTTTAAAAATATAATTTGCGCTTTCCATTTCTATGCCCGCCGCAAGTTTGTTTACTTTATTAATTGCAATATGTTTTTGGCCAGGTTTGTTGTTGCTTACCCACCGACCATTTGGATAACCCAATTAATAATTTAGAGTCAACGGACAGCTGCTTATTTATCTAAAGCAATGCGTGATTTGCTGCACAGCACATCGTAAATAAATAATCCCCATTAATATTCATATTCACAACTCTGACGCGCTCTGGAGGCGGCTGCAATCGACATTTAATCCAGTTCGTGGTTCAGTATGCGGCACTTGACACATTCCGCTTGAAATATGGGCCACGATTTTCACGTGATACGTGTTTATCTCTTTATACCCTCTTAGAGGGTACTATGAGTGTGTCAGGGAATGTGTAACGCATAGAAAGAGATATCTCTAAAATAATTGCACACTTAGCAAGTACATAAATTATATGAGAGAGTC